TATAAGGTAAATAAAAATTGCCCTAAATATTAACGGGTAAGTGGACGTCATAGTACGTTACTTTTTTTAGGTTTTTACTAATTAATATAATTTGAAACTTGTGATTGTTCATCTCATCTACCTTATCTTCATAAGTAATTTTATGACCATAGCCCGATAACCTTTTTGAAAGAATAGTCAATCTATAAAAATTTCTAAAGGCGATTTTTGCCGTTTCCAAATTTTGTTCTATGTAGGAATAAAACTTTGTCAAAGACAGAATAGATCGATGTAGTCTACGAATCTCTGAGGCGGATCAAAAAAAAATATACAGCTTCCAAGATAAGGATGGTCTTGGCGATAGTCGAGATACAATTTTGGTAAAATTAGATAAATCGTTGCTTAATCCTAATCCCATTTACATTAGATTCAGAAAATTAAACTATTTTATTTTGAAGACAAGTTATATTGATTTTTTTAATTTATTCTTGATATTTTATGAACACCAAAAAAGTCATGAGCAATATGCTGACACGTTTTAAGCTTAATATTTGAATTCAGTTAATATATATAACATATCTAAGACTTTAATATGGTCTTGGTATGTTTTATTCAATCGATACCAGTTATTAAAATGCAGCTTTGTGTAGTTAGATTCGGCAAACTTCATGTAGAAGCTCTGAAGATTTTAAGTTGTTGTTAGACCCTTGTATCAAGTGAGAATGGATTCGCGTCAGTTCCTATGTCATTATATGCAATTACGGTTTTCCCCGGATCAGTGCCTGATTTACATACTTCATTACTTCATTGCTGCACGCCAAGTAACTTGCGCAGCTTGTCTTCAGATTGAACACTAAAACGATTTACCTTTGATATGATTCCCAGACACGTAAGAGCAACGGTATATGCACTGGCAAAAGTGTGATGGATTGTCATCATTATTGCTCTGACTGATTGTTCTGTAATAGTTTGTGCTTCTCGGAAATAGTAAGAGGTGTTTGTTGGTTTGTTACTGGAAGATACACGATATTACAGAATGTTGTAAGACAAATTTAAGATTAGATTTAGTTCGTGAAGGAAAGTTCATACTTACGTGGATCCGAGAATTTCTCGTCACCGTGGAGCTCTTTTATAATGCACCTTACATTTTTCGAAAACAAAATTGTATTTTGAGCACTTCATTAGGGCATTCCAAAAATAAAAAAGGATCTAAGATAAGTCTTTACAACTACAGGTCTTTAGCTCTACTTTATGTTATAAGTAAGGTGACGGAGAGGTGCATAAAGTGTGTTTTGGTGTACTTTGAACGTCATGGCTTGATTAGTGTGGTTTCCGGCACGAGCGATCCACAGGGGACCCATATGGTGAGGCTCATGTCGTTGATATCACGAGAGCGTTCGATCAGCTGAGGCATGCCCCTCTTACGCAAATTTCGACCCTATCGCCTTCCAGACAAGCTTTGCAGAGGGATGGCTGACTTCCTCTCTGGCAGCAAGATATCTGTCGTAATTGACGTACTCCTATTCATTCCACAATGTCAACGTATTTGTTGATGACAGCACTCTACATGCAGGAATTCAGAGTGATAAGCCGATCGCTGTCAGTGAGCTAGAGAAAAGAAGTCTAGCAACGACTTTCTCACCGACGAGAGATCTGGAGGTTATCACTGCTTGGGGACGTAACAATCTGGTACAGTTTAATGCTTCCAAGACACAGTACTGTACATTGACGAACAAAAAGCGTCCTAGCGCTCATCCGGTTTCGATGGATGGCTGAGTCCTACCTAAAGCCGTTCATTTCGGCTGGTCGGAGCCCAGATCGCCGAGGGCTTGATCTGCCACGAACACATCTCGTCAATAGTGGCAGCTGCTGGTGAAAAGCTAGTTAATTTTTTTAGGGCTAAGAAGTACTTTTCGTCACATAACCTCTTCACTCTATACAAGGCCCAGTTAAGACCTAGAATCGAGTACTGCTCACATGTTTGGGGTGCTGCCACCCCGATTTCATTATCTATGCTCGATGCCGTTCAGAGGAGGGCCTTCCGACTGATGGCTCTTTTCTAACGGAGAGGCTCTGGACTCTTTCGCTCTGTCGGGCGTTCGGTGATGTAACTTTCTTCTACCCCTATGTCAACGGTATTTACCCCTAAGAGCTCTCCTCCATGATGCATCTGCACGATGTGGTTGCTACACATACCCGCGTGTCTCCCATTCTATGCTTATGGAACGTCGTACATTCAGAACTGGCCGACAACGACCACTCCTTTGTCCATAGGATATCGGGATTGTGGAACAATCTGCCTGAGGGGTCTTTTCGCACATCTGATAAACTAAGCAGCTCAAAAATAGGATTATCACATGTCATATAACAATTATAAAATAAATTGCAATTTCAATTTTTTTCACTATTACTATACTTCCTCGCCAATGGCGTGGGAAGTACATTACAAAGAAAACCTACAAACGTCACTACTCAATCGGAAGCAAAATTGCCTTGAGAAAATCAGACTTATTTTTACAAGGAACCGTGACGTAAAATTTTTACAATACATAAAACAAGTATAATCTGGGAAATTCCAGACCCATGTTTATGTGATCCTTTTTCATATTTTTACGGGCTGAATCTGCCTTCAAATTTCCCAGGCAATATCGTAACACCCTGTATAGATCAATTTTCAGTTAGCATTATTTTCAGTCAGCAAGTTCCGAAATAGAGTATTATAATGAAAATATTATCCGGTTATCACTCTTCAGACTGCAGGGGTTTCATTGTAGGTATGTTTTGTTTTCTAACAGATACGTTTTATCTTCAAAGTAATCAAGTGATTTTTTTTAGATTTTCGATAGCGCTCAAATCACTATTTTTAATATGAATACATCAAACGAATTTGTCATTTGCATACGTCCAATGCAGCTTTAATTTGATAATGTGCAAAGGAACTTAGCAGAAGATTTTCGCTTCTCTTCTCTTCTTCATTCCCCCTCAATGGGCGTGCACCTCCCTGCGAGTCCCAAATCTCACTTTACTCCTTTCGGGTAGTATTCCTCTATTCTAATTCATTCATCCTGAATTTTAAAATCCGAAAAAAGCTCGCCGAAAGTCTTGTGTTGTCTGTCATTTCTTACTCTCTTGTTCTTTATTACCCATGTTTAGACTACGTCCACAAAAGGAAACCAGAAAATTCAGAACAGCTGTTGTAGGTTTTTTGGATTGCGCAAGTTTAGTCGCGTCTCAGATAAAATCAAAGAACTCAACTGGTTGCGAATTGATAAGTTATTTTTATATCATTTGACCGTCTTCACGCATAAAGTTCTATTATCTAACAGACCAGCTTAGCTTGCCAGCAAATTAGTTCCCCGTGGTAGTTTTGTTATCAGAGCTCTTAGATTTAATGCTAATTTTAACATGCCTCCTCACAATACCTCGGTCTTTGAAAGAGGTTACACCTATAATGCTGTCAAGCATTACAATGCAGTGAGCAGTGGCTATCGATCCAAACAGGTTGCTTCTTTCAAGAAATTAATGAAAAGTCAGCTGCTGGAGTCTATTTAGTTCAGTTTTTCTTGTGTTCATTGCTTTTTTTACTATTTTCTACTATTTTTGTTACAAATTTAAAACTCTCACAATACTATCTGCATTTGTCTCGTGCAGTCAATGTTGTCATGCTTCTGAACTGTATTTTTTTGTATGTTATTATTTTGTTTATGTGTTTAAGTATTCTTTTTTTTCTGTTGTGGGGTTGAGTGTAAGAGTAGCTAAGAGTGGCTAAACTTCGCCTCACTGCAGCTAATAAAGGCATTATTATTATTATTGGTAATGCTAATTTCCCTCTTTTGCAATGTTGGAAATATTATGGCTATATACTATTATAGATGAATGTATTTCAAGCAAAAATATGTCTAAAAATATAAATTAGAAAAACATGTTTTCTGTTGAAGTGGTACGATTGTTTTAAAAATAGCAACATTAGTGAGAGAGATAACCGCAAACTGAACAAGACATCAAAATATTTGAAATATTGTATTCTGGTTATTGAGGAATGCTTAGCGCACTAGAAACAATAATATGAAAGCAATGCTGTCAAACTAACACAAAACAAATGAAAAAATGTCCGACGGAATCCAATCCTCAATGTATTTGATCTATTTTCTGTCAGTGACTTGGCACTTGGCACCATTTCGTTGCATGTTGCAGGTAACTTTTACAGAAAACAAAATAAATTATCTAAAATCTGAAATTTGCCATCCTAACAAAAATATTTCATTCATGATTCCTGTTTTTTGGTCAGGGGCATTACTATGGAATATCCAGAATATTACCTAAGTTTTAAAATTGCTATATAACTTATTAAGAGAGTGTGCAAAAAGAATACAAATTTTTTTTTTCAAATAACATGCACAATCTGCCTATGTTTAATTTACACAATCGATTTTATTGTTTTATGTTGGAGGCTCAAATACCTTTCATTACCCATTGTATTGTATGCGTATCGGTATAAATAACAATCCTACTTGCAGAGAATCAGAAGGAGAACGGAAGGTGTCTATTCCAATTAACAGTTGAATCACGTCCACCTATCGCCTACCGGTATTTATTGAATTTCAATGACGGTGTGCATACAATTACATTCAAGTAGTTGATGTATGCGGCTTTGATGATTGAAGTTATTTGTAGGTTTAAAAGTGTATATTTTGCAACAAAACAATTTTTATACTTTAAGTTTCAAGAATCCAAATTAAAAATCAAAGCAAAGTCAGTACCTCGAAATGTTTATCAATACACAGACATGAACTCACCTGACATGGCAGTAATGTAACTTAAAAGGGAAAATTAAAATTGTGGTGCAGATTGAATACGCATTTAAGGATAAGGATTTTTGGTATAAATTATATTTTATATAAAGCGTATTGAAAAGTTGATGTAATTAAATGATATTTCTAAATGTCTCTATTTTCAATATAACAAAAATAGCGTTTAGTGGATTGACACTGTACCTCCCACGCCTTGTAGTGCAATTCTGCTCATACGTCTTTTAAGTTTTGCATAGGGAAATAAAACAACACGGAAGGTAGTTTTAAATGACTTTATTGTTTTCGAAGTACCTATTCTTTACGAAGATTAATACACATCTGCATGCGCTCGGACCAATTTTCGAAGTACTTATTCCACTCGTTTGCTGGCAGATCCAAAACGGCATTTTTGAATGCGTCAACTGCTTCTTCTGGTGACTGGAACCTTTGACCATGCAGTCTGTTTTTAATTTTCGGGAAAGTAAAGAAATCGTTAGGACTTAGATCGGGACTATATGGAGGATGGTCCAATAATTCCACGTTTGCTTCCGTTAAATACTGCCTTGTTTTTTGGGCTGTGTGCGAGCTTGCATTGTCTTGGTGGAGGATGATTCTTCTTTCGGGGTTGGTTTTTCGAAGCTGGGTGATGACTTTTGCCAAACAAATGTAACAGTTCTTTGCTCACTAAGAGGAATTGTTGCAATATGACCCGCTTTTGACATAATTGTCGAGACCATCTTTTTCGAAACACTTCGAGAACGGATGACTTTTGTTGGCTTTTCTTCACGTTGGAACACCCAAACAGCCGACTGTCGTTTATTTTCTGGCTCATAACAGTAAATCCACGATTCATCAGCACTAACAATGCTGTACACATTTTTTGAGTTTCCGGAATTGAAACGGTCAAGCGTTTTTTGACACCAATTAACCCTGGCTAACTTTCTGCTCTTCAGTCAACAGGTGAGGTATCCAACGAGAAACTAATTTTCTTACTCCTAATTCAAAATTTTTTGAATTGAGGTCTTTGAGATCTTCAAGGACGCCTCAATCTCGCGATATGTCACATGTCTATCTTCAATGATGAGTTTGCGCACAGCATCGACGTTTTCCTGGGTGACTGACGTTTTTGGTGCACCCACCCTAAGACTCACCTGTCCACGTTTGAATTCTTCATACCAACGGGCAATTGTCGACTGATGTGGCGCTTCGTTGTCGAAAACAGACAGTAACTCAGCAAGGCATTCTTGTTGCGATATTTGTCTCTGAAAGTTGTAATAAATTATGGCGCGAAAATGTTCTCGGTTGAGTTCCATTTTTCTAATGAATTGGTAGCACTTAAAAATTCACTGTAGTGAGAGCACTGCACGTATTGTTGTGAACTTTGAATTTAAGTTTACTAAAGAGTGAGGTTAATACGGCCTACTATGTTTCTATATGCAAAACTTAAAAGACATCCCTCGTATTTACTGGCTTCCTAAAGACGTAGATTTTTGTCATTTATCCTCCAAAAGTATATACATGATCGAAAAATAAGTTTCAGCGACTTACTTTTTTTTTACAAAAGCCACAAAGCGTTTTCGTTTGAGAGGTATAGAGGAGCCAAAGATTAGCACACAAACCCTGACATAGACAGACTGTCAGTTCGATGGATAAGGATGACATAGTTTTTTGTGATCGACATATGAAATATCCCAAAAAATATAATCTCATTTAGACATGTATAGGAATCACAATACTTCTTCGCCAATAGGCGTTGGAAGTCAAAAAAAAAAAATGATACAGCATATCTAACAGTTAAGAAAAATCTACCCGAAGTATTTTTTTCTAAAAAGAATCTAGAATTATTTACTAGCCGCTTGCAATGTACATGATAGTGTATGGAAGCCTACAGAAAAAAAGCCATACGGTTTAGCAATAGTATCAAAGCATTTCCTTTTGAGAAAGACACATGTGCTTATACGTAGTTGTATATGCGACGGTCTCATGGCGTTCTGTTTATATAGATTCTGCAGTCACTCATGGTTTTAATCAGTTAAGTCTGATGTTATTCAACTTCTAAAGTAAATTAACATCATCTCATGCAGATATTTGTGGTACTCGACATTCCATGAACCTCTTCTAGTCAGAAAATGAATTGCTAATACAGTAGCAGTTATGGCAATGGTATGTTCACCCTGTCCTCTCTTCCTGTAGATTGTAAAAGTTAATTAAATTGTGATTTTTAATGTGTATGTGTTTTCTACACATTAATTATTTCCAAATGAGCTGTTTTTTATATTTTTTGTAGTAAATAAGTCTGAAGATGGCATAAGGCAACCGAAACGTCGTGTAACAAACAAATTAATTTTTAAATGACCGAACCCCATAGGTCTCGCATCTAAATTTGGAATCGACGGCCAGAAATAAACAAATACTGCAAGCATGAGGTTTTATTCTTTATTTATATTTTTTTGTTTTTGTTGCAGGTAAGCACAGTTTAAGGAAAGCCATCTTTGTCTGGTTCAACAGGTAAACGAAATTATTAACGGGGTGTGTGTACGTGGATAAATGTGGGTGTACTCCTTACGTATAAAAACGATCTGTGATACATATTTTTTTATTTGTTTGTTTTCTTATTCGCGACAGAAATTGATTAACTAATACTACTTGTCAACTGTACATCAATTTGTACAAAACATAAAAACACAAAATTCTTAGTTTCTGACCAGATACCATTTTGACATCAATTTATCTTAATCGTTATGAACTAAAATTAAATATTTGCTGTTACACTTGCAACTACTATTATTATTTTCAAGCACATATGTGAATTTACTATAAATAATTGAGTCAAAACATTTAATCCTAATATTGTCATTGACAGAAATAGCTTTTTGGATAGATAATTTTGCAGCTGTGCGCGAAAAACGTTATATCCAATTCGGTGATTTTGAAAATAGAGCTTTATTCCATGAATAAAGTGCGTAATCTTTTATCAATGTTATGTTTCGCAAATAGTGTCTCATAAACACGAATAGACGTAGTTTGAATGAAAATGTCCTATGGATAAATGCATAATTATGCGATAACAGAAAAAAATATACTTTTCAGTACTCGTGAGTGTGTTATGTAGGAAGGATCCCTCACAGTCGTAAATTGAGTTGAGTTTGGTTACACAGAAACAGTGTTGGTGGCTCAAAGTACTATGTACAGTTTTTTATGTATCTGCACTGAAAGCACGGCGTTTGGAGGTTCTCGGACGACGCGCAACAGGGTGACCCAGAATATGTCATCTCTAGAATTCATGAGGAACTCCAAAAAATAATGTCACAAGTTTCTATTGAAAAATGCCATACTCGTCATCCCTACAGGAGTATATGCCTCCAAAATAACTTGGACCTGCATTGTTTTTATCAAATAAATATCGAACGGTGCTGTATATTTCAATGTTTTTTTTTTCACACGAGGGTCAACATCTATAAAAATACTAATTTAGTAAGATTGTTATACAGAGTATAAAAACGGGTTTTTAGGACTAGCGCGTCTTCAAAACTGAACTGAAACTTGTAATCCAAATTACTGGAATTTATTTTATACTCTGAAAAAGGTCGCCAGGGAGGCCGAAACGTGAGATTTTTTCGATCTACATCTTTTGGCGTTACGTTATTTAGCCCCATTATATATATATATATATATATATATATATATATATATACCGTTCCGGAATTATAATTATTCACGAAACATTTTCTTTCTTTCTATATATTTACAGAGATGGCACTTAGGACTTTCTTATATAAATTTGTTCTGACATCTGGCGCACTCTTGAGCCACGTCTCGTCCGTGAATCTTCAAAAGTCTGCCTTTGCTAGCGGATATCCTAATCTTTCGGTCTATGGAGGCTTTTGATCTAAATGTGAAACTCTACTCAGTTCAGAAATATCAGCAATATCGATGACATTGTTGCCTTAAGGTTCCCTGTATGCAACTAGTAACTATTACGTAGGTAGAAGCTTAGATAATGTATTTTTTATTCTTATAGCAATTGTGTCAGCTGTATTTCAGAAGAACTTGGAAACATAAATGTAGACCGGAAATAAAGAAACAAAAAAAAACAAACCATGAACGACAAGCGTCTGAAATCGTCTTAGTTTATTTATGATGTTCTAAGTGGAACATCACAATGCTCAAATCTCGAAAACATAAATTAGCAGATCTGTTTTGATATTCAAAGATTAAAGGCATATCCATATACCCTCAGCTCACTTCCCGTAACTTTCGCAACATGCTTGTAAAAAGACATCGCGGCAACATTGCGCAGTCGCTTCCATGTATAAACAGAATTATTCTTGGAAGTGGGCTATTTTTGGAGGCCGCCGGCTACACGAAATCCACCATCGTTATGCACTCTGCAGCCAGCAGCCCTAGAAGATTTTCCATGTTCACGTCTCGTGCCGTATACTACCTGGCAAAAGTATTAAACAGCCCTTGATACATAATCTTCGTCTTGTCAATACTACTTGAGAACTGTAGTATGGGGACAGTCTCACAATGTTCCACTTCAATGCCATCTCAACAGATCCTACTGCCCATGTGGAATTGTGAACCTCTAATTTCGTATTTTGCACGTTTTTTTCTTTCTAATCAGATAAGCTAATTCCTCACCAACAGCTGATGCAGTTGACTAGACGTGCTTGTGCCAAATCATATATTCATTAATGTTGTCCCACAATGTCACAAGTATGAACAAGAGGCTTCTTAGTAAAACTCGGATACATAAAGGAGGTCTGTAAATTAAGTGATGAGACTGGCAACGTAGCGTTCGATCTGGCAGCACTGTACGTACCGGAGGGGAGACAGGAGTGTGATCCACCTTCTGTACAAATTTGAACTCGCTCGAGCCATTTGGTTGTCCGTAGCGATCTTTTGTGAAACAGTTTTTTTCTATTGTGCTCTAAAAATGAGTGACATCAATTTGAAGCAACGGTGTGTTATTAAGTTTTGCTTTAGACTTGGACACAGTGCAACGAAAACTCTTGTTAAGCTTCAGCAAGCCTACGGAGATAGTGTTTTGTCAAAAGCCTATATAGGTTTTTCGGTGGTTTACGGCATTTTCATCTTCAAGAACCGATGAAAGAATCAACAGAATCTGGGATCCTTGTGCATTCAGTTCGTCGGTTGACTGTTAGAATGGTCGGGGAAGGGTTAAATTTGACTCACATCACCGTTCATCAGATCAAGAACAACTGGGTGTTGCAACACGATAATGTGCTATACAGCAATGTCCATAAATAGTTTTTGCGAGTAAAAACATTCCTGTGGCCCAGAGTCTCCTTAATCGCGTGATTTGAGTCCTTTTGATATTTGGGAGGATAACGTATTGTTTTTTGTATATCTTTTTTTTTCAACATGAATGTTTCAAATTTAAATACTGTCGCTCGCATAGTAGATGTATCTATGAGATATATACGTTTTCTAACAATCTTAAATAATGTTTTGTTTTTTAATTTCACCAGTTCAGAAGGTTTTCAATAAATAATACAAAGCAAGGCAACCCTAGGTATAGTTCTTTCACTAAAGCAAAGCAGTTACGTCATATTTAGTAAATTTGAATGCCACCGCAGTGCAAAATATATCACAAATTGGTACGTACCTATAGTTTGAATTTCCCGGGTACATTTATGTTGGTAACAGTTTTCTGGGTTGTGACATTGTCGCAAAGCTTGTGAGGGAATTTGTGGTTTATTTCCCAGGATCTAGTAGTTTTAATTAATGTGGCAATCATGTGCGTCACTGTCAATAATTGACATTGTGACGTAACTGCTTTGATTCAGTGAATATACCGTATGTAACTGTCATCCTTTCGCGAGAACGGTTTTTTAGTATCGCAGACAAAAACCAAGCGGAAAATGAACTGAAAAAAAAGAAAACAGTATCAGACCTTTTGGACGATTCTGAACTTGAGGTAAAACGTCTTTGCGCAGTTTAAAATCCAGTCGCAGCAGGCATTATCGAACGAGATAAATATTTTCATGAGCCGCTTTTACGCCTGCAGTGGTGCCAGGAACGAGAAAAATCTATTCCAGATTACTTGAGACAGTTAGAAAAAAAAAAACGTGCGGCTTTTTTAAAGTTGAAAAACTTATGTTCTTAAAGGGAGATTTGTAGTTAATTTACGTTTGTATTTGAGTATTGTATTAATTTCTTCATGAGCCGCAATGGCTTTATAAAGTTAGCTAAATTTTAATTTTTTTCATATCGTTCTCATTCGTTCACTTACAACTAGTTCGATTTTTTAAACGAATGATGAACTAGTTCCCTCTCGAACTACATACCAC